GTGGGGCTGGGGGTAGGGCAGTGGGCATGTGGTTGGGACTTGGGGTGACTGGGACTTGGGGTGGCCAGGACTGCGCTGCCTGGCGTTCTGGGGCTGAGGGCTGCATGCCACCCACTCCAGAGTTAAGGGGGAGGGTCTGTGCACCGCCCACCTGGTGCTCCAGGGCTGGAAGGTGGGGTGCACTGCCCGCTTGGGCTAGAGGCGCTTGGACGGCCCGGGGCTGGCGGCTGCGGGGGCCCTCTGGGCTTCAGCGGGGAAGGGAGGCAGGAGGGGCGGGGCCTCAAGTGGAAGGGATGGGACAGGACTAGCCTCCCACACCCGTGATTCACCCACCGCCCATGCGACCACCCATCCATTAAACTCTCTCTGGAATTCTCCAACACTGGCATCAATTTCTTTGATGCCAGGATCAGCTTCAACAAAGGACTCCTACAGCAGACAGCTATATACAAGAAACCTATAGATTACCACACCTACCTTCATAGATCCAGCAACCACCCCAAGCACATCAAGAAATCTGTTATCTACAGTCAGACATTCAGATACCACAGAATATACTCTGAGAAGAAAATCCTGGGTGCACACCTTAACAAGAACACTCCACCAGAGAAGTAGATCACATCATAGAGTGGGACACCCAAATACCCCAAAAGAACCTACTTCAATATGAAAATAACCCCTCTATGAGAGCATACCAGTCGTCACCTTCCACTGCACATTGGAATCCATATGAGGTATCATTAAACAATTACAGACCATTCTCGATAGGGACCACATCCTGAAAGAAATCTTTCCTCAACCCACTCTTCTGACCTTCAAATAACCCCCCAATCTCTCCAAGCTCATCATCAGAAGCAAGCTCCCCACAGACCAGGACACACCAACTCAAAGAGTCACCAGACCCTGCAAGAACAACAGATGCAAAACCTGCAGACATATCTCCACTGCTACAATGATCAACACCTACAACACAGCTTTCAAGATCCATGGGTCCTACACATGCCTATCACAACATGTAGTATACCTCAACCAGTACGCTATATGCCCCAATAGCAATTATTGTAACAAAACAATTGTTCTATATCCAGAAGTGAAAGTAAGCTGGTACAGGTCAGTACAGTGTACCGATAAGAAAGTGGCCGTCGGTACGGACCAGTACATAGCCGAAGTTAAAGCACTGCTGCAGCAGCACTTTAAGCACCGTACTGGCAGGGCCACTGATGGGGGGGGCGCAAAAGGGGCAGCTGCCCTGGGGCTTGGCGATTTAAAAGGGCCTGGGGCTCCAGGCAGCGGAACTCCAGGCGGCGCAGGCTGGGCAGCGCTGAAGGGCTGGCTGGGGGAGCCTAGCCCCCGCCCCTTCCACCTGAGGTCCCACCCCTTCTCCGGGCCCAGAGCCCAACCCCCTTGCCCAAGACCCTGGCCACCCTGCGTACTGGTAAGTCCTTTCAGTTACTTTCACCCCTGTCTATATCTGATCTCTGTCCTCATTCTCAAAGCAAATCTGCACACTTTCAAAAGATGAGCCTGGGAGCTTAAATTCATAAATTTGCAAGACACTAAAAATCCTGGACTGAATAGATAAACTGGATTTATGGCTTATTATAACAACCTATAACCTACTAACAAACCCCACCTACCACCAATCTGTCTTTTTTCTTTCTCCCTTCCCTCCTCCTCTATGACCTGAAAAGTGTTAATTGGCCACTTCACCTTAAGTGGTCCCTTGAAATATGCATTAATTAAACAAACAATCTGTTTCCCCTTATATCTAGCTGTGGCACTATGGCCTGGTCTACAGTACAGAGTTAAGTTGACATAAGGCAGCTTACATGGACCTAACTCTGTAAAGGTATGTCTACACAGCCAATGTTAAAGCGCTGCCACGGCAGCGCTTTAACGTGGCCGTGTAGCTGCAGCTCCAGCGTTGGGAGAGAGCTCTCCCAGCACTGTAATAAAACCACCTCCGCAAGGGGAAGCGCTCCCAGCACTGTAGCACTGTCTACACTGCCACTTTACAGCACTGAAACTTGCATCCCTCAGGGTGTGTTTTTTCACACCCCTGAGCAAGAAAGTTTAAGTGCTATAAGTGGTAGTGTAGACAAGGCCTAAGTGTCTACTCTACAACATTGCCCCTGCTGCTGTAAGTCGCCCACTACACCAACTTAATAACTCCACATCCGTGAAAGGCATAGCACTTAGGTCGGTATAGTTAGGTCAACAAAGTGTTAGTATAGACCCTGCATTGACTCTTCTGGCTGTCAGCCTCTGGTGGCTGACAGAGGTACCAGCCTCTGGTGTCAGGCATCCCAAATCCGGCTGCCTGGGGCTGGTACCTGGAGCTGGGCGGCGGGGTCTGGCTGTCAGTGCCCAACACTGACAGCTGGTGTAAGCGCTCCTGATTAGGACGCACACCGCCAACAAAAAGCGCTAGTGTGGACATACAACACTGATTTAATTACTGTGGTGGTTGTACGTCGACATAACTTAAGTCGACAATTTTGTTTTGTAGACATGGCCTATGAGCACATTTCCCAAACCTGAAGAAGAGCTCTGTGTAAACCACCTTTTGACAGCAGTAGCATCTGCTGCAGATCCAGAGAGAATATTTTCTTCATTTCAGTTTATTAAACTAACTTAGTTCAATGACTACTTCATTCGAAGTTAAGAAACCAACTGAGAGCTGAATATGCAGGAAATCTTGTTTTCCTCTACCAATCTATACATAAAAACTAGGTGAGAGAGGAGGTGATCTACTGGTTCTAAAATGTTGAAGGACAATGGTAAAGAGAACCAAGCAGTTTAATTCACTACTTTGTTTAATAAATCAGCTAGTTTTAAATGCAACATGTTTTGATAAACCTTTTCTCTTATATACCCAATATATTTAAGGTAGTTTTATTACATTAATAAATACAATTTTAAAATGCAGTTTTTGTGCATTTAGTTGGATTTGAATTTCCAATGAGGCCCAGGCCAGTCCCCACAAGGAGCAGGGGAAGGAGCACCACCCAGCTCCATTCCTGGCCCTGGCTACCGCTCCCAGCTTTGGTCCCCATACCGCTGTCCGTGTCCCTCCACCCCCGAGCCATGGCCAAGGGCAGACAGGGGTAAGGGGAGGTGCAACCTTGAAAAGTTTAGGGACCACCAAAGTAAGGAATGCATTATTCACTATTTTTTAACATAAACAATGTAAAAGTTAAGCATTTGAATAAGAATCTGAATAAATGTAAGCTTAATTGCTTAAATAAATGTCTATCAATATAGCATATCTTCCTGGTTAGCAAAAAGGACCAAATTTAGTGCAAAGACTACATTTAGTTGCAAATCAACATGTTTTAAGGGTTACTAACCAATGAGAAACAACCTTTAGGAAGATAATTAAAAAGTACAAATGCAAAACAAGATGAAAATTGATGATTGAAGTCAAGGCTTGCTGATTTAACTCACAATTAAAATTGGTGGTTTAAATTGCTTTGTTTTCTAGTGAAGGTCTTTTGATCCTTCCCAACCACCTCCCATCCTTTCTTTGTAGTGAAGTCTTTGCTTTTGTGGTCTCCCAAAAGAGGAAAAAGAGCCAAGGTTCACCTCAGAGCTGCTGGCTACTAGTGAGATTTGAATAGTAGGTGAAGGAAGAAGTACATACTACATTATTCTACGGAGCTCCCTCCCAAGTCTTACTTCTAGGTTTTAGCTTCTAAAATATAATTTTTAACACACACACATCCCTCTGACTTGACTTGTGTCATAGAAACTCCTTTTATTTGTATTTACAATTGGTTTGGGCATCCAACTGTATGTATGTAAGCAACTACATACATTCGCCATTATCTTTTCTATCAGACAACAAACCCATCATTTCTGAGAATCGGAGATGAGAACAGAATACCTCACTTCCTCCTCGTTCAGACCTCGGTGCTGCGCACACTGCCCCATAGGTTAACCAGAGATAATCTGCACACAGCGATTAGTTAAGGGCCAGATCCTGCAAACATTTAGCGAAGCAAGTATTTCTTACTGACGTGAGCAGCCCCACTGAAGATAATGGATCTACATATCAAGTATCAGAGGGGTAGCTGTGTTAGTCTGAATCTGTAAAAAGCAACAGAGGGTCCCGTTTAAGACCAACAGAAGGATCTACATATGTGTGTAAGTGTTCTACAGCTACTACGGGAGCGCTTAACAGAAAAACAATGAAGTGGAGGTCTCTATAACACAGCACAGGTAGTGTCTGGTGTGTATGTCACAAGCGAATGCGGTCACTGAATTGAAGGAAAATTTAACTCTGCACAGAACTGAGATGAGCGATTGTTTCAGTGAGACAGCGAACAGCAGAGGAAACTCCACTCCCCGTCACCTGAAGGGGCAGAGACGCACACAGCGAAACCCCACCCCAGGCCCTTCCAAGCTCCATTAGGCGAGACAAGGCTAAGCATGAGCTAGCCCGCTCTAAAAACTGTCCCGCGAAAGAGGTCTTTGTGGAGTGGAATTGGGTGGGGAAACATCTCCCCTGTCCCGGAAGGCGAAGGCGCGGAAGAGACACTCTAACCCCGTCCCCTCTCTCTCCACCTCGGGCTGGGAGATGGTCCCCAAACTTTTCTCTGGCCTGTTGAGCTCTGCCCCTCCTCAAAGCAGCTACAGGAGCTGATGCTCGGTGGCTACAGCCGGGCCGGGGAAGGGACAGAATGGGGGGCTCGGGCCCCCTCTCCTCATGTCGGTTCCCCCATTAGACAACAGGGCGCGGCTGAGCTGCTTGTTTAGCGGCCCCGGCCCGAGTTCGGCTCCGTCCGCCTCTCTCTTACCGGGTGGCGTCTAGACTCGCCTCCTCCCGGGAGGCCGGGACACATCCTTCAGCGCGTCGCACGGGTCCAAACCCGCCCCTGCTCCGCACAGGCACAGACCGAGCCGGCCCCGCCCAGATCCCTCCCCCTGGGCCGGCAGATCCGCTTCCCGTCCGGGCGCTGCTGGCCCCGGCTGCTGCCAATGAGTTTCCGGGTCGCCGGCCTGAGCTGCTGTTGCTGCCGCTGGCGTCGGCAGTTGGCCACGAGCTGAGCGGGACTGGGCTGCAGGCCGGGCCGGCGCGTGAGGCGCCGCGGAGTGGGAGGGAGGCGCCGGGAGGAGGGCCCAGCCTGAGCTGAGGGGGAGCCGCGTCGGGGGCCCGTGAGCCCCGTCGCCGAACAAAGGGCAGCGACCGAGCGTCCGCCGTAGAGCCCGGCCAGAGCCCGCTCCCCGCCCCGGCAAGCCCCGGACGCGGCCAGACCCCGCTCCTCGCCCCAGCCAGCGCTTCACTCGGGGGACCCCGGACTGGCGGCAGATGGAGGTGCTGGATGCGGGGACAAGAAGCGGAGGGGAGAGACCCTCTGAGGAGCCGGTGAGTGACCCGCTGTGCCGGGGGCGTGTTCCCTCAGGCACGGCCCCGGTGCCGCCTGAGTGCCGGGGGACGCGGGGCGTCCGCCCCTTCTCGGGTGCTGCAGTGGGCTGGGGGAAGAGCAAAGGCGCCGCAGACAGATAACAGCCTCCTCCTCCGCATGTCTGCAGCCCTTGGCATCCCCGGGGGTGGGGCAGCTAACTGGAGCCAAATGTTGAATGCAGCAGGGCAGCGGAGATTTGCTGAGGAGTCCAGTGCAGAGGAGAGAGGAGGCGGCTCTAGGGATGACTCGGTTTTGGCTGCCACCAAAACAAAAGCGATCGGAAAGGCAGTATGTGCGCCTGTATATACTGTACACGTAGTGCTTATTAAACATTACCCTCTGGGACCAAAACCACAGTTAGGCTAATTACTAACTGGTCTGACACGCCCTATTTTGAAGAACCCAGTGTAAATGATTTTGGTGAAGCCTTAAGTGTGGGAGGCTCAAGAGACACCTCAGCTGTTTAAGGCATGTGTGTCAGACTATGGACAATATATGGTGTGGGCATTATATAATATATGCATGCATCAACATTTGTTGCTTATGAGGAATCCATTGCACTTCCCATTACGACTTTCCACGTCGAGTTTTAGTCGCTTGTAATTCATGAGACAGCAAAGGGTTGGCAATGTGTGGTGGATTGTTTACTTGGAAATTTCTTGGGTAAAGAAGTGGGGGTGTTCAGTTTTTCCTCTGTTGAATGGTATATGTAGGTATCACTTACCAATTTCTGTTTTTCTGGGTGCTGTACTGTGAATTCCTTGAGACTATTAAGAAGACAAGAAGGGAAATATAAATGGTAGTTTTGTTGTACCCACAGAATTGTAAGAAACTTGAATTGTCATGGCCTGGTATCAGTTCCTTTGTTTAAAAACAAATATTTGCATTGACTTTAGGAAATTTTTACAAAAGAGGAATATTATAATAGGAGAGAGTGTGGGAGGCTTGTGCAGCTATAATTATAGTTGTGATCCTTTTGATATAACCCTATTTTCAGGATGTATAGCTTGGTTATAAACAATCACTCTAGGCTGAAATTGAGTATTCAGCATTTCAGATTGGAATTTTTTTCCATTACAAAACTGAGCCCTGATCCTGTAAAATTACTCACGTGCATAAGTGCTTGTAGGAGCCCTTGATTTGCATTTAAATCATAAATTCAAACCTCCTTATTAGAAAGTGTGTGGATTTTTTAAAAATAAAGTAGAACCATACTCATTGATGTTTGCGTCCCCTCCCCCCCAATCAAGGATACCGAATCACTAAATGCCCTTTGTTCACTTTTGAAAGTGTAGTTTGGTTTGAAATGAGGTTTAGATACTGCAACTGAATGTAAATGAGTGAACCCCTGCATCCATGCAGAACAACATTGGCTTCAGCAGGCCTCCATGTGGGCACTGGAGTGAGACTTTTTTTTTCTCAAGTATTACTCTCTATGCAGATTAATGAAGTAGAACTGATGAGATTCTTGGCTCTCTGTGAGCTGAGGGGTGAAAACGTTATATATGTATTGGTTTTCCTTGGTGTGTCTGTGTGTGTGTTTTTAAATAGTGGTAGTAGTTAGTGCATTACTCTGAGAACTTAGTCTCTCTTAAGGTATTTGAGGAAAAGTAGTAAGTGTTCTTTCTCTGAAAGAAGATATTACTACCTATAAACAAGAAATATTTTCCAACTACAATTTTTAGGGACCTACATAGCCTGTTCATTTGGGGTTCATGTACAGCAGCTGACTGTATACAGAGGGAATGAGGCAACATAATTCAAAGCAGGACTTTCTGGGCATGGAAAGAGCAAGCCGCATGAGGAGAGGAGGAGTCTCTTCTGGAATCCTATCCTAAACCTTCCTGTGCTCCTGTACTAGAATAATTTGTTCTCACACCTATGATGTGTCAAGGAGTTGGCATTTAGGAAGTTAATGTTGTTGCTTTAAATAGCTTACTTCGTTGTAAATTGAAATTAGTATATCAAATGTGTGTCATACTTATTTTAAACATTGTAATTTATAATTATCTGAAGTAATATGTAAAAGAGAGGACTTGGCCATTATCTCATTTGTTGCCATCCTCTTGTATATAGTGTCAAAACAGTGCACCATGAATAAAGACTCTTAAGACAATATTCACTAATGTGGTCAGAATTACAGATTAGTAAACAGAATCCAGTGAGACTACTGGTAATAATTGCTATGCCTGATAGTAAAGATAAAATAAAATTGCAAATTCAGGACCTTCAGTCATAAGTTACTTGTGACGATGGTTTTGTCACTTGTTCGTCTGTAAAATTCTGTGCGCGCGCACTGTCGCACACTTGATTTCTTTCTGGGGAACATGCAACTTTATTGACACAGCAAACTAAAAAAAGTCAGATTTAAAATGTACTCAATGACTTTCCTTTAGATATTAGCCATTGTTTAATGGGGAAACTTCTAAATAAAAACTTTTTTTTTAACCTAGTGTACTTCTCTGTCTTATAGACTGTATTTCTCTTTATTTGCTCTTTATTACGTGAGGCAGTTTAACTGATTCTTCACCCAAATAATTATCTGCAGCAACACCGTTTTCTTCTCCTCTGTTGTGGAGGACTGTTAGTTGCCTTTTGCACTGGTCAGTAGTATAGCAGGAGGGGCATGTTGTTGGTGATTTGGTAAGTTTGTGTGATTGTTGGACAGTTGACTTGGGACCATTGACAGTTACCTCTACCTATCTTTCTTGGTACCTTCAAGGTTTCAGGTGCCCTATGCTAAAGTCAGTATAGATTTGTTGTAACTGTATAACATTTTCTAGATAGCGTGTGACTTTCTGTTGAGGGACTGATTAGCTATGTGAAATCGAGGGTCATGAATTCAAGTGGGGATTAAGCAGATGGTGATTAATTCTGCAGCAAATATATTATTATACAACAATGATATAGAACAAGGAAAGATAAATATTATGCCTTTTGGAGTTTTCCATTAGGTTGCTCTTTAGTTAATATTCAGACTGACACAAAATGATAAAGAATTTAGTGTTTCAAATGTCTGAATGCTGCCTGATAGCCTCTAACTTTCCAAATATTGTATGGGATCTGGCCACACTGCTCCCCTGGAATTCTTTGAAATTGTAAATGTAAGTATCATTAATGTTGCAAGACTTTAAATGAAAATAAATACTAAGTTCTATGCTTTCTTTTTAGAAATTTTATTTAATAAAAATTACTAGATTTCTTTAGCTCTTATTTTTATTTCAAATGGAGCTGGTGGCATCGTCTTTCTTTGTTTCCCATTCTTGGTGAGTATATCAGCCTGTCATCACTACAGTGTCAGAGGAATAGACTTTGTATTTTTCTGCTTTACATTATTAATGTGTAAAGCTCAAAGTGTGTGGAGTGCTTCATCTAAATAAGATGTGTCCCAGCCTAAGGTGCTTTCAGTCAAATAAGTCAAAATGTGGGTGTGAGGAAGAATGGATAAACACACCTCACTCACTTAGCTTGTAAGTTGTGACATACATATATCTTGTTAATATCATGACCTTTTAAATTCTCTTTTTATCCTTTTTAACCTTATCCTCGGTTAACAATGATTTCCTTTCCCACCTCCTGATTCCCTTGACCCCATCATAGACCTTGAGTTGGGTGTGAGTTGCATCACAAAAGGATTAAAACAAAAAATAGTTAACCAAGTCAAGAAAAAACTATAGACTGAAGTCCCAAGTGCCAATGTCAAAAGGTGGTCTGGTGAGATCTTTATCTTTTCCTGCTCCAGCAGTCTATTACAGTGTTAACACTCTTATTTGGAAATACACCTCTACCTTGATATAACACTGTCCTCGGGAGCCAAAAAATCGTACCGCGTTATAGGTGAAACCGCGTTATATTGAACTTGCTTTGATCCACTGGAGTGCGCAGCCTCGCCCCCTGAAGCACTGCTTTACCGCGTTAATATCCGAATTCGTGTTATATCGGGTCGCGTTATATCTAGGTAGCAGTGTAAGTTTTAAAAAATTAATGGGTTTTTCAAATATATATAAACTAAAGATACCCAATCCTCACCTGAATCAAACCATCAGAACATCAGAAACTTTTGTCAAATAAAAGAGACTGGTGATTTTCCTTTCCTTTAATTCTAAACATAATTTGGAATGTTGATCTTAACATTGAATTTTCTCCTGTTTTGTGTTAAACTGTAATACTACTTAAAGTAGCCTTGTGTGGTAATCTTATTTCATTTTGCGTTGAACAAAGACCTAAATTATAAGACTGAGAAATTCTAACATTTCAGAATTTTGAGGGACGATCATAGTAAGAAAATATAATAGTAACTGATAATGGGTCATTGTGCTGTAATAGATGTATCTTTGATTAATGCCTAGTTCTTAGTAAACTCTTCAAGCATCTACCTCAGCTGAGCAGCTGCATGACAACATTAAATCTGTAGAGTTCTCTTATAATTTGTGATTGATCCTAAATTGACAGGGATGACAGACCTTTGTCCATGGAATTATTATATAACTGTGTTGTTTACATGTAAATGCTACACCTCTTGGTGCTGGGTGGGCAAACTTTTTGGCCCAAGGGCCACATCTGGGTATAGAAATTATATGGCGGGCCATGAATGCTCACAAAATGGGGGTTGGGGTGTGGGAGGGAGTTCTGGGTTGGGTTGGAGGATGCGGTGCGGAGGGGGGGGGTGAGGGCTCCGGGGTGGGGCTGGGGATGACGGGTTTGGGGTATAGGAGGGTGCTCCGGGCTGGGACCAAGGGATTCGGAGTGCAGAAGGGGGATCAGGGCTGGGCAAGGGGTTGATGCGTGGGGCGGTGGCTCAGGGATGCAGGCTCTGAGTGGCGCTTACCTCAAGCATCTCCTGGAAGCAGCGACATGTCCCTTCTCCAGCTGCTATGTGGAGGTGCAGCCAGGTGACTTTGCTGCGTGCTGCCCCATCCACAGGCACCGCCCCTGCAGTGGTTCTCGGCCAATGGAAGCTG